GGGCGGGCCGGAGGGTCCCCAGTGCCCTTCCTCGGCAGGTCTGTTCCAGGGATCCGGCTTGTGATCTCCTAGCGGGAGGAGCGCCCTGTCCTCTCGGCCGCCTTCTCTTCGATTTCTTCTTGTACCTAAAGCGACTGCTTTTCCAGGCAGCACGCGGGCACGTTTTGTCCTCTCGGGGCCGCCCTGGGAGCGAGGCCGCCGCCCTCCGGAGTACCAGCCCGCAGCGAGCTCGGGAATCGGCTAAGAGTTGTGACTGAGCTGAGCCCGGATGGGGTCCTTGGCGGAAGGGCCAGCATTTCACCTGGGAGAAGAGGATTTGTAAGCTTGGGCTCTGCCTCCTTTGCAGTGCTGCCCCCCTCTCTGTCCAGCTCCCGAACGTCTGGACGTGGGTGTCTCCAGCTCCTTGAGTCCTCTGTTGCTCTTGAATGCAAGCGGCAGCCCCCTCTCCCTGCTGTCCCAGATTTAAGGGCCCAGGGGGAACAGACCCCCACTTTAGGTCGAGTGGAGAAGGCAGGGCTGCCCTCTGCCCAGCGTTCCTATGATCCTGGCCCTGCCTGTGACCTGAGCTCAAGTAGCTTATCTGTGCCTATTTAGAAGGGCTGATGTGGAGGTCACTTAAGAGGTTTGGGCACTTAAGGTGTTCAAAATGTTAGGGTTGTCTTAAACACTTTTCCTAGGCTACAACTAACCAGCATTGTAGAATCGGACTGAAGCCCTGGGGCCTGCCAGTCTCTCCCAGGAGTCAGGGCAGTGCAGGGCTGCATGGGCAGGATGGTTGCTCAGCTCCTTGGTGCTTGGTCTCAGGGAGGAACAGCAGATCTGCAGCTAAGGCCAGAGCAGCGTCCACTGGTGGAGACTGTGGAACTGGGCCTGGGGCAAGGGACAGGCTGGCCTTTGGGAGCACCCCATCTAGAGTTAGACCGGCTGCCCTCCACCTGCCTTCTGAGCAGACACTTGAATACTTGTTGAAAGACGTTTTATTATCACCGTTCCATTCCGTCTACTGAGCAGGGCACTGGATGAGATGACAGCTCAGAAGCAGAGAAGCTGGAGACAGGCCCCCAGCCTTCCTGCGAGGGCCAGGAGTACCCCTGCTGACAGCGTGGGGGGGCCACACTGGAGGGCTCTGGGGAGCACTCACACGAGTCACAGGCCCACGGTCTCATGGGTAGGGGTGGGAGGGCGAGAGCTGTGAGGCACAGAGACCCCACTCCAGCCAGCCATCGCAGGACCTGACACAGGGGGCTGGGGGCTTCCTCTCAGAGAAGGTCCTTCCCTTCCACCCTCCTACCCGAGGCCCAGCCCTAGCGAAAGAAGTCAGACCGACTCACGGAGACAGGGACAGGGATGGGGCCTGGGGGGAGGAGGAGCCAGCAGGCGAGAACAAAGGAGGAGGCCTGGGATGAAGGACCACCCCAGCTCACATGGAGCAGGGACACTACAGGCAAGAGAGGAGAGAGCAACGCGGGTGGACGACGCTAGTTAGAGACGGAGGCAGCGGTTTGAACCGTAGTGTTACTCTGGATGGCGAGCTCCCCGGCTAGGGTCAGTCAAACGAGATGAGCTGGGCTTCGCTGCCCTGCACCGGTGGCCCCTGTGCAGGTGGCTGCTGGGCCACTGGGGGCTGCTGCTGGGGAGGGCCGCTGGAGGGCGCCATCTAGGGGGACACATGGGGGCTGTTGGTCTGTCCTCCCTCCCTCTTCCCTCCCTAGGCCCCCGCCTCCCCACCCTCTAATGGCTCTTCTAGAGCACTTGTGTCCCAACCTTGCCCCAGGTCTGCAGGCCCCCAACTAGGCCCAGCCTGGGCTGCGCCAGCGGTGGTCTCTTGACTCCCTCTTTCCACTTGTCACGGGCTCCCGGTCCTCCTGTCCCCAGCAGAGCACAGACCCCAGGAAATTCTGATTAATGTCTATGGAGTTGAGCTGATATGGCCTAGGGCTCTTAAGTAAACACGTGCTTTCGACATCCCCAGGTGTGACTGTGTTTACGTCGGGTTCTGCCTGCAAAGCAGCAGTCCTTGCCAGCACTGGCCACCTTCCCAGGGCAGCCCTGCGGCCGATGGGGGCTCAGAGCGAAGCCTGAGCTGGCTTCCAGCACGGCCCTCCCTGGGGTCATGAGCTGTGATGGCGGCCCTGGGAGAGGCTCACCTGCTGGTACATGGGCTGCTGCCCCGAGATGTAGGGCTGCTGCGGGGGTGGCAGAGATGCATCCTGGCTGGGGAGGGTGGTCATGAGGTTCTGTGGAGAATAAAATGAACCTGAAAAGGGAGCTCTGAAACCAGAGAAACAGCATTTCTGACTTGGAAAATCAAATGCCAACCAGCAAAGAGAGCCCAGTGGAGAGGACATGGGGTGGGGAGAAGGGCGGAGCCTGACAGTGCACCCCCAGCCTCTTGCCAAGGGTCCCCAGCCCGCCCCTGGCTGCTGACCCCACAGCCACGGCCTCTCACCTGCATGCTGTAAGGCTGGTAGCCCATGGACACGGACTGGCTCCCCATGTAACCCATGGTGCCCGACTGTGGGGGCTGGGAGATGGCCGGGAGGCTCTGCGGGGCCTGGGAGGCCACGTTCTGTGGAGGGAAGGGGGAACGGGAGAGAGCTGGGCCCAAGTGCCTCACAGTGGGGCTTTGTGGGGAGAGACGTGGCCCACCCGCCTACCTGGTACCCCTGCGTAGGGGTGGGCTGGTAGGACGAGTAGGCTGGGCTGGCGGTGGGCCCTGGGGGGCCCTGGGGGGCTGCCTGGGTGCCAGCGGCCCCCGCTGGGTACATGTAGGCACTCACCATGCTGGGATCTGCAGGGGAAAGGAGGCATGAGCCCCCACCCTGAGGGTGGGGGGGTGCGGGGGGCCTTCCTCTAAGTTGTCCTTTTCGTTGTGACTTTGGAACCAAGTTCACGTTTCATGTTCTCACAAGAGGGTGATAAATGAAACTGACGAGGACGAGAGAGACCCCTGCAACGTGTGCCATCAGGAGACCCGACACCCAAACTGACGGGTGGTCTGCAAGATGGCGGGGCTGGTGCTCTTTGGGAAGTCTGTCACAGAACCCTAAGGCAGACTGAGGAATGTTCTAGATTAAAGGAGATGAATGAGGCAGAACAGCTGAACACAACACTTGACAGGTTTCCTGTTGGCACAAAGGGTGTCTCGGGCCATGCATGAGAGCCCAGCTGGGGGGGACACAGTCGCACCACGGCCTGAGAAGCCCCTGGCCTGGCGTCTGTGCCGAGGCCACACGGAAGCGTCCTGGTTGAGGAAACACACTGAAGCCTCTAACAGTAGAGGGCGCCCGGCTTGCCACTCACCCTAACCTGCGCCAGAAGCGAGTGCGCGTGGGAAGAGGCAGGGTGGGGCATGGGAACACCCGGGGAACCTAAGCACCTCTCTGAACCGCTCTTCTAGTAAGTCTGACGTCACATCGAGGGAAAACAGAAGAACAGGGTAGTGATCTGGGCTCGTCTCGGCTGCTCCGTGGCTCCCCCACCGCCCGCCAGCCCATTACCTGCTGTGGCCCCGGGCATGCTGGCGTAGGGGCCGCTGGTGGCCGGGGCCGCCTGGCTCATGTACATGGCGTGCATGGGGGAGCCCTCAACTGAGCCCGCGGGGCTGAAGGTCCCTGCGAAGCTTGCGGGGCCTGAGGGCTGGTACAGCACGCCCCCTGCCGCGGGCATGGCCTGGAGCTGAGGACAGAGACAGGACGTCAGAGCAGTTCTCGGTCCCCAGCGTCCCCCGAGGGCACGGGGCAAGGCTGAGCACGTGCCTGGGCATAGGGCAGGGAGA